TAACATTTGGAGATTTTTTTTTAAAAGGCTTGAGTTCATGTTATACAGTGATCAAAAGATAGTAGTCTTCACTTGAAAGCAACATAGTGTAGTTAGCTAAAGAATTGCCTTAAAAGGAGCAGCTAGGTGGTGCAGTGGATAGAGTTCCAGCCTTGGAATCAGGAGGACCTGAGTTCAAATCTGGCCTCAGACACTTGATACTTACTAACTGTGTGACCCTGGGCAAGTCACTTAACCCCCAATCGCTGGACAAAAAAAAAAGGAATTGTCTTAAGAACCAAGAAGACCTGGGTTTGAGTCCTGCTTCAAGACATCTGACTTTAGAAAAACACTTTATCCTTTCAATGTTCTAGGCAACTCTCCAAGACCATGAGTTGCTGAGAAGGTGCTGCATGTCTGGAAGGAATTTCTTCATGGCAGGTGTTCCCAGTATCAGTGAAATTACATATCCAGTCCTTATCCTTCCTTTGAAAAGGAAAACTAATGCTGTAATTGAATATTACCAAGATATAAATATTAAACCAGAAATTTTAACAGCATATAGCCAGGAGGTATTTTGCAATCCAATTTCACCTGTCAAATAATTTTTCTTAAAAAAAACCCTTAATTTCTAAGGTTTTATGGTTTTCTAATGTTCACCTGGTCTAAGAACAGACTGTTTGGGTAAGGATCAAAACATCTCAATTGCATTCTCCAAAGGAATGGTTGTATTACATGCTCACAAAATGGCTGGAGGGGTTTTCTCAAATGAATGTCTTAAGGTAAGAAAAACAAATCACTGCCTTTTTCATCAACGATTCATCAGCCTTAAGGGTAGCTAGGTGGCGCATTGCTGATAGAGCACCAGCCCTAGAGTCAGGAGGATCTGAGTCCAAATCTGGCCTCAGACACATAACACTTACTAGCTGCGTGACTCTGGGCAAGTCACTTAACCCCAATTGCACTGTCAAAAAAAAAAAAAAGATTCACCAGCCGGTCAACCTGACCATTGTGCCAAGTGCAGCTTTTTCTAAGCAAGACGTTATAGAACACAGAATACCAGAGCATGAAGATATTCTTCCCAGCCTTAGTTAAGGCAAGTCAACAAGCATTTATTAAGTGCCTACTCTGCACCAGGCACTTTGTTAAAGACTGGGGATACAAAGAAGGGCAGCTAGGTGGCACAATGGATAGAGTGCCTGGCCTCTATCAGGAAATCTCATCTTCCTGCATTCAAATCTGGCCTCAGATTTACTAGCTGTGTGACCCTGGGCAAATCACTTAACCCTCTTTGCTTCAGTTCCTCATCTGTAAAATGAACTGAAGGAAAAGGCAAACTGCTCCAGTATCTTTGCCAAGACAACCCCTAATGGGGTCACGAAGAGTAAGGTAACCAAAAAACTACTGAACAACAATAACTGATACAGAGAAAGGCAAAAGCAATCCCTGTTCTTACGGAATTCACAACTGAATGGAGAAGAAAACACACCAACAGCTATGTACAAAGAATGGCGTATGCAAGGTAAAGTAGAGGTGATCTCAGAGGGGAGGCATTAAGGTCGAGGAGACCTGGGAAATGCTTCTTGTAAAAAGTAGGAGACTTGGTTGAGACTTGAAAGAAACCAGGGAAGCCAGGAGGCCGAGATGAGGAAGGAGAGAATCCCAGGCACAGGGAAACACTCAGATCATGAGATCCAAGGGGTTGTGTGAGAATAAGAAGGCCTGTGTTCCAGGATCATAGAGGGAAGAAAGGTGTAAGAAGACCAGAAAGGCAGGCCAGGTGATGAAGGACTATAAAAAGCACAACAGAAGATTTTACAGTAGATCCTAGAGGCCACAGGGAGTTGAGTTTATTGAGTAGACGATGACATAGTCACACCCGCCTTTTGGGAAGATCAGTTTGACAGCTGAGTGTTGGATGAACAGGAGTGGAGAGAGATTTATGACAGGGAGAATGACCATCAGATTACCCAATAGTCTAGGCATGTGGTGATGAGGGCCTTTAGCAGAGTGATCAAAGCATCAGAGGAAAGAAGGAGGCATGTATGAGAGATGGTATACCTAATTCTATGGACTCCTGAGGTCATAGTATAACTTGAAGGAAACCTAGATTTATGTAAAAACTTTACTGAGCCTTTGGCTCAAAGTTATGAGGATTTGGCTTGCTATGTATGTGTGATTCCCTCCTCCCCACACACCCAGACCCCTAAGGGCTCTCATCCCAACTTAGACCAGAAGGCTAGCCACGACTTTTCACTTCAGGATTCTAGGGACAACTGGGAGGAATTGAGGTTTCTAAAACTCTCACTCATGAGACCCTATCCAGTGTCCTCCCCACTAACAAATGGCATCAATTAGCTTGTGGGAGCAGCTAGATGGCACAGTAGATAAAGTGCTGGGCCTGGAATCTGGAATACCTGAGTTCAAATCCAGTCTCTGACAAAACTAGTTTTGTGACCTTGGGTAGTCACTTTATCTCTGTCTACCTCATTTCTTCATCTGTAAAATGGAGATAATAACAGTACCTATTGTGAACAATAACAGCACAGTGGTTGTTGTGAAGATCAGACAAGATAATATTTGTAAAGCACAGTACCTGGCATGTGGTAGGTACTTAATAAAATCCCTTGTTCCCTTCCCTTTTACAATAGGATATTTACTGAGAAACTGAATACTAAGAATGCACTCTCTTTTTGCATACACCAAGTCTCTGTGTAAAGCAGGCTTAAGCTTAAGGCACAAAAATCGTCAGGCATACATGTAGAAGACATGGGGTCAAAGGGTATCACCTGACCCTTGGACCTGTTTGTCTTTTGTGGAGTCCTGACCAAAGTCACGTCTCGGTGTGGCATCAGCAGTGATGAATCATTCTCTTGTTCTGCAGTGAGTCAATCCCTTGCTCAGCTAGGCTGGCTCCTTCCAGGTTTTGGCATCTTGGCTTGACTGGTCAATCTATGGCTTGGATGAGTCAAGCAGGTCACTTGTTTGCTGCTCCCTGCTACTCCCTACACCCAACCATTGTTACTACAGGGTTTGTTTTTCTTGGCTGCCAACCCCAAGTTGCTAAGGACTCTCTGATAGTTTTTTCAACATTTTGAAGCCCAGAAGTTATACCTTAGTCACTTCTAGCCTCCAAATACTCATTTACCTGAGATCAAAAAGAATAAACACAAAATAAATAGAAACACAATGTGTTAGCAGGGGTGGGGAACCTGAGGCCTCGAGGCCACATGTGGCCCTCTAGGTCCTCAAGTGTGGCCCTTTGGCTGAATCCAAACTTCACAGATCCCCACCCCTGTCAGCTAAGGGATACAAAGCAGATGAGTGAGATCAAAAGCCCTACCTCTGCTGGGCAGCTCCCAGCAGTTTCTACTTTCTAAAGCTACCAGGGAAAAGAGCAAGATTTTCTGCTCACAACTTCAGTTCCAGCTTCTCAGATAATTAGAAGATTCTTTGTCACCCTGTTACCAGTCACTCTGGTAGAAATAGGCTTACAAAGCCTTCGTAAACTAGGCAAGGAACATTGTTCACATCCTGCATAGCCCACCGGGAACGGCACAAACCATACATGTTCTAAGGACTGAACCCTTACTGTTTAGTCCCCATCCCTCCCCTGCATTTTACGTGTTTAGTTTGAATCTTCATTCGCATCTCAACAACAGGAAATTATATTCATTAAGCCACATTCCCCTCTCATCCCCTCAAGTCTGGCTTGTCTTTACTGTTTCCCTCTGTATGAGTCAATTTTTAGCCTCATTATACAGTCACTAAGATACATTAGCAATGCCCCTGATCCTGTCTAAGGGCAAAATTTAGCTTCACTCAGATGCTATTCATCCATGACTGCATGATGAGCTACTGCTTTTTATCCTTAGATGATATCTAATTCAGTCTTCATCGCTCCCATTTCCTCCCTTTTTTGCTCCAATCCAAGTAACCAGTCATCAGTCCTTAGAATATAGCCACATCTCTTGCCAAGCAAGGGTCAGGGTGACAATGGAAGAGTAGCTCCTCCAAAGAAAAGCCATAGGCCATGAAGCACATTCTCAAACTTTGTATCCTTGGATCTTCCCCAGACCTTGATCACCCCAACCTTTAACCACTTTAATCCCTTGACCACCATAACAGAAAGAATCTTTAAGATCATTCTAGTACAAAACTCTGTATTTTACAGATGAGAGAGAAGAGGAGAAATAACTTACTTCAATGTCATACAGCAAGTTAGCAGCAGGGATAGAACTAAAGTGTAGCTGATAATAGTGCATTTCTTCAATCAGTTCATCTTTCCACTAAATCTTGCCTCTAAAAGTTATTCTGGGAAAAAAAAAACCTTAAATTATCTCCTGCACTGTATTATCACCATTTTACAGATGAAGAAACTGAGGCTTAAAGAATCAGCATCATGACTCAATCCATGTCTCCTAAATCCAGTACCCTCCCACTAACCTGTCCTTTAGTAGTCAGAAATTGATGAAAATAAAGAAAGCTGCCCAAAGGGAGAGGAACTGATTTTATACAAGAGGGCATAGTCAGACCAATAATAATCAAATTTGATTTGCATCATTGTGTATCATGTTAAAGATGTTGTAATATCTTGTAAATTGAATCTGTTCATTTGATATATAGGTATAGAGATATGTATATATAATATATATGTACATATACATATTTCATATATATACACACATGCACACACACATATATATATATGTATATATATAAACACAATCTCCTTAAAGTATTATATGGTTCACTTAGAGAAGCTATAGCTTCAATTTAATACATTTCCATTATTCTTGTAAATACAAAAATATGTTACCTTCCTAATTTAAAAAAAGTCAAGAAAGACAAAAGGGAAAGAAGGAAGAGAAAGAAATAAAAGAATAAGAAGGGAAAGAAGGAAGGGAAAGACAGGAAAAGAAGAGAGAAAAATTAGAAATTAAGCATTGAATCTTTAAGAACCAGAATGTTTATTAAAGATTACAAATAATTTATAAAAGAACATGGCTACATACACCTACCTGAAATTCCAGATGTTTTAATTGTACATAACCTTGAATTTTTTCTCCACCAGCAGTCTTGCAGATGAGTCTTCCTTCTCCCCTTTCCACTGAATATACCCAGTATCAGCCAGAACCAAAAGATGTTCAACAGTAAAATGTCAATGATATTTACCTAAGAAGGCATTTCCCAGTTTCACTAATTGTACATTTTGCATGGTAAATTGTCTGATGAAATGTGTTGCTTAAGAAACAAAACTGGAAAAAAAAATCTTCAAAGAGAAATAAGCTCAGTGAACAGGTTATGACTTTTTCCACTCACATTTGTTTTTGTCAAATACTTTCTCCCTGTAGTTTAAACTCAGAGCTTCAAGCACAGCAAGGAAAAAGAAATCCTCAATCTTCACTTAGTTGACAATGTTATTGCTAGGAACAGGGACATGTGACCTGTATATCATTGGTTCATCCCATCACTTAGAGTAAAGATGAAAAGTAATAAAAACTAGGTGAGTGAAAAGAGACCTGAGACAGTCCAGGTTGGGATGTGTTGCTGAGGGGAAATGGAATGAAGTTCATTATTCTTTTTGACCTTCTCTAGCTAGGCCATCCATTGCTGTAAACAGAGAAGAGAGGAACATGAAAAGGGGAGGTTAAAAACAATTTCCTCACCATGGCATCACTCAGCTGCTTTTCTGTTTGAGGAAGTAGAGCCCCAGGGATATTTGCCTAGTCAAGGAGGCATGAAAAGGACTAAAAATTAAAATGGGTTTCTGATAAGTTAGATAGCAGTTGAACTCAGAGACTTAGAGAAGACAGTAGGGAAAAAAAAGTGCAGGCAAACAGAAGACTTAATAGGAGAGCATACCTGATTTTTAACTTGGGCAAATGCTACTTACTCTAGTACAATCTAGTTGAGGAGGAGTGCTTCATAGTCATTGACTGAGAGAGCTGACTGAAAAGAACAGATTATAGAGACGGTTGAACTTTATTAACCGGTAGAGGTTAATAAAGGGGAGATTTTTTAATCCTTGTTGCAAAAGAGAGGCTTACTATTCATAACCTCCACAGTGGATGAAGGACAGAATAGTAGGTACATCTGAGTATAGCACCTCAGTCAAAAGCTATACCCATTCTTTGTAGGCAAGAAGCTTTCTAACTTCAGCTATTCCCCAGTGAAAGGTACATGTGACTTAAATAGCTCATTGACAGAGCTGTATCCCTGTTCTCCATAGGAGAAGTTTCTTAACAACAGCATTCCCACTGAATTTTGAACAACATATTGGGGATCTTGAAGACAGCTGAAGGCAATAGAGAGTTGCCATGTGATATCCAGGAGGCAGCAGCATAGCTAACTGTCAAAAAGCAGGTTTTAGAAGAGAGCCATAGAATGTCACCAGAAAACACCAACAGCTTTTTTTTTTCTTAAGCCATAAGCTTCCTCATTCATGAGCACTAGTCACATGTGTTCCCTATCTATGGTTGCCTGAAACATGATCCCTACACAAGTCCATTCTTCCCACTGAGGCCATGTGTATTTGTGTGAGAGGAGAATGTTCTGCTATTAATATGTCATCAAATTTCTTTGTTGTGAGCTGAGTCTATCCTCCAGCTAACTAGTTATCAGAAACACATCATCAAGGTCTTGCAAAGAGGATTCTGACACACAGAGTACCTAAGAACTAAGGTAGCTAACTGGGGGCTCATGCATAAAGTTGTCATCCTGTGCTACATAAGAACCCTTATGATAATTTGCTGATTCATATTGTATTTTGGTCTGTTTAACTAGTATACAGTTTGTACCACCCACTTCTTCAGGTTCATGTGTGTACGACATTTCCAGAAAGAATATAGAAAGTCTTGAGCAAGACATGAAAGTTCTTAAAAGACAAGCAATGTTATCATCACTGTTGTTGATTGAAAGGTATTGACTTCAGAAGAGAGGGACAGATTTGGAAAGTGACTAGTTGGTTAAAAGATAGTGTATAAGAATAGCAATTGGATTTCTGGACCACAGTCTATAAAAATGACTGATTCTTGGCCAGAGATAGGAGCAGGGTTCTTAAAAATGCTGGTAATAATGAATTTTCTAGAAGTCTTACAGATGTAATCAAAATGGATTTACACTGAAAAGCATAGAGGGTGAAAATTCTCTGTGTTTATCCACCAAGCCAAATATAATAAAGAGTAATCCTAAAGAGATAGTAGTGGAAGCACCCAGAAATTTTCAGAAAGCAAAATTCATGAAAGGTTCTAGCAAAATAAAAATAATTTTTAAAAACATAGGTTTTTCATATCTACACACAAATGTACAAAGTATGAGTAACTAGCTGGGTGAACAGAAGATCCAAATTCAAGGAAGCAAATTTAACACATTTATCATGAGGATTTGAAGAAACCTGTGCCTGGAATATGGCTCTGGAAAAGTGTACCTTATTCAAAAAGGAACAGAAGAGGTAAAGGGGGAGGGGTCTGTGTAGCACAGCAGACTAAGAAAATATACACATGTGAACAAACCTAGGAACCAGATGGTGGTGAGTGTTCTGGCTAAGAAAAACAAAGATAAAAACAGGGGCAATATTTTCATCTGAACGTATTGCAAACCTCCTGAACAGAAAGAGGAAACATGAGTTTAGGGAACAGATCACAAGCTTGCCATAAAGGCATGGTAGCAGACTTCAATTATTTGGGCATCCATGGAAACTCTCTTTTCTCTGCCAAAGCAGAACAGCCAGTAATTTGTTGTTTTGCCATAATAATAATAATAACAATAACATTTGTATAGTACTTAAGGTTTGCAAAGTCTTTTACATAATATCTCATTTAGTCCTCACAACAAATCTTTGACAGAAATGCTACTATTATGCCTTTTTTACATATGAGGAAACTGAGGCTGAGGGGGATTAAGTGACTTGCCCAGGTTCAGACAGTATCTGAGGCAGGATTTGAAATCAGACCTTCCTGACTCCAACCTTATTGATAATTCTGTTGTTCAAAATGAAGAGAAATGAATGAGGGAAAATGCTATTTTAGATTTTATTTTCAACAAGGAAGAGGAGGAACTGGTTGTTATGGTAGAAATAATAGGAATTTGGGATGGGTGGGTGGTGATATTGACTTCTCCCCATCTTAGAATTTGTGATAATGGAGAGGAAGTTGGGCATAGTCTGATATACACCTGTGAGGTCAGAGAAACTACAGGTAATATCCCACAGATGTTATTTTTAATACCATTATCGTCAATACATAAAAGAAGTCAGAAAATATATGCAGTGTTCCAGACCTGTGGACCTCCCACTTCTGTAATGATGGAGAGTGGGCACGTTTTCTGTATCTCTTCTTTGGGGCCATGCTTGTTCTTTGTAATTTTTTTTTTTAAGCAGTTGGGGTTAAGTGACTTGCCCAGTAGTAAGTATCTGGTCTGAGGCCACATTTGAACTCAGGTCCTCCTGACTTCAAGGCCAGTGCTCTACCCACTGCACCACCTAGCTGCCCCATGTTCTTTGTAATTTTGCGACATTCACTTTTGACTTTTTCATGCTTGTTCTTTTCATGATATAGTATATATGTGTATATTGTTTTCTTAGTTCATTACCTCACCCCGCATGAATTCATGTACACTCTTACATGCTTCTCTGTATTTGTTACATTACTTATTTCTTATAGTACAGTAACATTCCATTACATTCACGTACCATAATTTGTTTAGTCATTCCCCAATCAGTGGGCATCCTTGGTTTTTGCTACTACAAAAAGTACTGTTATGCTATATAATTATTTTGGTGAATATGGAAACTTTCTTCTTATCATTTACCTTATTGAGGTATATGCCTAGTAGTAATCTTTGGGCCAAGGGATATGGATCTTTTAATCACTCCTAATAATTCCAAGTTGCTTCCCAAAATAGTCATCCTGATTTGCAGCTCCGTACAATGTACTAGATTGCCTATCTTCACCTAACCCCTCCAACGTTAACTATTCCCATCTTTTTGCCATTTTGCCAATTTATGGGGTATGAGGTAAAACTAAAAAATGTTGTGATTTGTATGTTTCTTATTTTTAGTGATTTGGAGCATTCTTTCATATGGTTATCAATAATTTGCAATTCTTTTGAGAACTATTTGCTCACATCCTTTGACTATTTATTGGAGAATGGCTTTTGGTTTTACATCTGTATATATGTTAGTTGTTTCACTAGAGATTTCTAAGAAGAGGTTGACAACTGCTTGTTAGAGATTTTGTAGTAGCAATTCCTATATATGTCCAAAATGGACTAGATAGCTTCTAATGCCCCTTTTGGCGCTAATATCTTGTATTTCTATAAAAATTAAAAGACAAACTTTGGAAGCAAATCCTCATCTAAATAAAAACAGCATAAACATCACACAGAAAAAACATCACTCAGAAAAAAAGTCTCCCTTCAAAAAGCCCCAAAATGTTAATCATGCAAAAACAAACAAACAAACAAACCATACAATTCTGTTCACTCAAAGCAACCTGATAAGTTATGACCTAAATTTTCTTAACCCACTCTCTTTCTTTTGTTCCTTCTTATATTCTGTTAGCAACAGCTAAACAAGTCACCATTCTATTTTGCTTGATAGAAAACAAGATAAATGAATATTTCCAAGGTCATATTTGTGAGATTAACTAATGAAATATGGCATGAATTTCTACCTAAATGTGCATGATAAAAATCACTTACCCAGAACGTCACTCTACAACTAAGGAAATCTATTTTATTCAATTAATCAATCAACCAGCGTCATTAAGTGTCTTCCTTGTGCCAGGCATTATGTTAGTTGCTGGGGATCCAAAGACAAAAATGAAGCAGTCTTTGCCCTCAAGAGTTTATATTCTATCAAGGGAAACAACATGTTCACATACAAATAGATACAAAATAGGTAGGGATGGAGACAAGACTTTTAAGTTCATTGACATAGGGAACTTCCCGCCGGGGGACTCCCTCTACTAATGCAGGTCTGCACCTTCAATTTGATTTATGCTCTTAAAGAATTACCTGATGGCATAACAAATAAAAAGAAGTCAAGTGACTTGCCCAGGACTTGATTCCAAGTATTCTTGGCTCAGGTGGCCAGCACTCCCAATACACAATGCTTCCGGTATATAAAGTAAACACAAGGTAAGTTTTGGGGGAAGGGGAAAAGATACAGTGCCTGGTAAAACTGGGAAAAGCCTCATGTAAGAGACCTGCAACTGATCTGAGTTAAATTGAAATAATTTTTAACAGCCTCCACTCAAGTCCTACCCTGATGCCTAATCATGATTTGGATATTCTCAAAAACTGTGCCCATGGAGTATAAGCTCTGTTGAGTCCTGGCTTCAAATACCTGCCCAGGTATTGAAGCCTGGACTTCAGTTATCCAAGAACTAGCCGTCCAATCAGCTCCCACCAGGTTGGCTGTACGCAGATGAATTTTTCTGCCCTGGCAATTCTCAAAGACACTAACAAAGCCCTAGAAGACTTATGATGTATTTTGCCGGAAAGAGTACCCATTCTGATGAAATTATAGATCCTTGAAAGACTGATGTGATTTTAGGCAACTAAAGGGAAATAACAGCTTCTGAAGTTATCAGTAGGTA